TTACAGAATAGGAAGCCATTCAAAGGGACATTTGTGTTCTTAGGAAAGGAAAATATAAAATGGTAAGAAGAGATGACTTGAAAGAGAAAACAGACACTAAAACTAACCGGAGGCAATTTGAAACATTTCCAGAACCTGAGCTGTATTAGACAGCAATTACAGACTACCCACAGAATGACAGAACATTACAGCAAGAAGCAAGTTGGGAGTGCCAAACCTTAAAGATTGATTTGTATATATATGGTCATAAAGTTAGTGACTGAACTGAAATTACAACCTGGAAATTCTTCACAAACTGTTCCTTTATTACCTCATGCTAAACCATTTAATTAAAAAGTGATAGATCTTGTGGTGGTCCTATTAGACTTCTTTTCTAGAAGTTTTACTCAGTGGCCAAACATAAAGCTACTGACACTCTAAGAACAATCAAGGAATATTTCCCAATTGTACTAAAGTACTTTCTCTGCCATCATTAATTAAACTGCTACAAACCAAAGCCCCTTTACCTACATGAAATTTTCTCCTCTGATGTATCCAATTTTCCCAGAAAAAGGAAGTTAGAAGCCTAACTGCGTGGAACTAGGTTAATAAACATGTCCTTGGCACCCAAGCTTCTTGGCAGATTGAAGAGACTAGGGATGGTAGCAGTCACACTTATTACCGTCATAATCTCATTACCAAATTTTTAAAGTTTATTTATTTTTTTGAGAAAGAGTCCACATGCATGCATGCAAAAGCAGGAGAGGGGCAGGGAGACAGAAAGAATCCAGAGCAGCCTCCATGCCCAGCACAGAGCCCAAGGCAGGGCTCGATCTCAGGACTCTGAGATGACCTGAGCTGAAATCAAGAGTCAGTCGCTTAACCAACTGAGCCACCCAGACGCCCCACCATATTTTAAAAAGATTGAGCATATCACCAACTTTAGTTTGTCATCAACCTTATCAATCAACTTCATCAACTTTAGCAATATCAGGGCTTCAATCTACTAAGGGCTAGATGATGATAACAGGTATTCCTTATGGTCACAATAATGAAATGCAGGCACAAAGGAAGCCTGCTTGAGCTTTTCTTGGCATAGCTACAGACTAAGCAGAGCAATCATCTGATTACCAGTCTTGCTGGGGAGGGTTCCCAAAGAATTTAAGCCTTATATTCAGGCTTCAAATATATTTCCAAATGCTCAACGTAACAAAAGGCTTCTATCTGGAAATTTTCCAGGTATTCTTTCCTCTTCTTCCTTTTTAAATAAAGCAGAATCCCCTGGGTTCCACATTAATAATTAAAGCCCCACATTTACATTGTAACACAAATGCATCCAGCTTCTTCAGTGTGCTTATGTTACTTTCTCTTTGGCATTTGCCTTTATGTTAGAAGTAGGGATATCTTACTCCAAGATTCTGGAAACGTTAATGCCACCAAACTCTTGTAACCCTAAGATTTTTTTGCCTTTTAAGAAAAGTCTTCCGGGGTGCCTGGATGGCTCAGTCGGTTAAGTGTCAGACTCCTGATCTCGGCTCAGGTCATGGTCTCACGGTTTGTGAGGCTCTATGCTGAAAGTGCAAAGCCTGCTCGAGATTCTCTCTCTCCCTCTCTCTCTCTGCCCCTTTCCAGCTCATGTGCTCTCTCTCTCTCTCTCAAAAATAAACTTTTTAAAAAAGTATTCAAACAATATTTCCTAGTTCACACATTGTTCATTTAATTTACTAAAAGAATATAAGCTATTACAGCTACTCAGGTGAAGTCAATAGCTGAACACAAAACAATAGGAAATTTGAAAGAAAAAAAAAGATGGCGAAGTCCTGACAGTAACAAAATGTAACAAGTATGGCAAAACATGTATAAGCTTACATGCAAACAGGTGACTGTAAAAGAGAATGTCTAAAGCCACAATGAAGTTACTAGAAAGTATTTACTTGAGGAGAGGCGATTAGCTTTATCCAGGACCAAATGCGGTTAGAATAATTTATGATATGAGAAGGGAATGGAAATATGGAAATGACCAAGTGAATCATTCTAGTCTGAACTCTGGATATGTATATGGTACAGTTCGTAGTATACACCATGTATTTGCTTGTGTTTCTCGTATTTTCACATGCCATCTCTCCCAGTTAGACTCTAACACCTCAACACTGTAACGCCTTAAAACACTGAGTATTCAATTCCTTTCATACACAAACATTTACTCTGCACCAATTACATACAAGGTATTAGGAATACAAGGATGAGTAAGACATGGTCCCTGCTGCTGAAACACTGTCAACGGGGGGGGGGGGGGGGGAACAGATCCATAAAAAGATCCTCATAGCAAGAAAATAAAGCCAGTGCAATTGGTAGGAGGCGTGGGAGTCAGGTAAAGAAAAGACTTTCAAAGCAGTAGTCGAGTTACATCACCTTGGCCTGAAGTGGCAGAACCTGTTTTTTAATCCATTTGCTCCCTCTAGACTTAACTCATCAGATGGGTGACATGAAGACCATGTCTGCAGTCGGGATGAATTGGAATGGGGGGGAAGGGGGGGAATGAAAGAGACTTCTCAAGAGAAAAATGAAATGAGGCTTCCAGACTGGGACTAAAGGGGAAAAAGGGATCTCTAAATTGGAAGAAGATTCAGGGATCATGCTTAAGAGAGAGATGCATAAGGTTTCACTGTAACTGTAATTCCAAATTCTGTGTAATCTACCTTTCAACAGGAGCCCGTGACACCAACTAGCTCCACAAAGACTGAGGAGATGGTGTGATCTACTCCATTCAGAATATCCAATTAGAACAAAGACGCGAAGGAAAGTAAGTGGTAGCCTCTATAAGGCTTTATATAAATTTTATAAGCACCCCCCCCCCAAATAAGTGTACCAAACGTGAAGTGAAATGACCTCAACAAGGCTGACTTGAAAGTGATAAAGGAGTAAGTTATTGCCAAAGAGATAAGTGAAAACACTGCAAAGGCACCGATAAACAGAAATCACCAAACTGAAGAGAAGCCGGGCATATACCCAGAGAGACCACGTTAGGGCACACCAAGAAAGAGACGGTTCAAGGGAATTACCAGGAGGCGATGAGCCAGGTAAGCAAACCGTGGCAGTTAAGGGGGTTTTCATAACCTGGGCAGGAGGGTCCAGACGTTTCTTTCTGGTGGTGGCACACTAGCGATAGCACGTCTCAGGGAGATACCACAGAGTAAAAGAGTTGGAGAAATGTTTACGTGAGACGCAGAAGTAGTCGAGAAATATCACTCAGGTCTCAAGGAAGGCGGGAGGTGAAGCAGGTGTAACAGAAAGCTGAGCTTCCCGGTGAAAACAGCTTTCCCGTGAGAGAAGACCCTGCTCGGGCGGGAAAGCCCCGAAATCCCAACCGGCCTTTTTGCCCCCAGGAGGGCTGGGCGCCGAGATGGGGCCTGTGGTAACGACAAGGGAGACGGCCTCTCGCCGGCCCGGGAGAAAGAGGCCTGAAGGAACGGCCTCGGGAAGCCTAACTAACGGCCGCCGGCCACATCCCGGCCGGTGGATAGCCGGGGGGAGGGGAGGTGGTCCCAGGGGGCGGGGCAGAGGAAAAAGCGCCGTCCCCACAGCCCTCCCAGCTTCCGCCCAGCCCAACCCAGGCCGCTGGGCCCGGACCGGCACTGCCTCCCGGCCCAGGCTCCCTCCATCCTCACCCCTCCCCCAGCTTCCCGCCGCCACTCACCGAACCGGAACCGGCTGCTATGCGAAGGGGTTTCCGGCCGGGCGCGGAACGCAAAACCCGGGAACCGCCGCGAACCGGAACAGCCTCCACAACACCGGAAGAGCCGTCCGGTGGCTGTGGAGGGGCGGGGGTGGGGCGGGAGGTCAAAGAGCAGAGTTGAGGACTCGGGGGACGCCTGCGCAGTGTGGCCAGGCCTGAGAAGCCCGGGGACCATCTAAGGCTGAAGTCATAATTTCCCTGTTCCCCTTTCAGTTTGGGATTTTTTTCTCGTTCCCGTTCTAGTTCTCGGATTACTATTAGTGTGCCCGTCGTCCTTCGCTTTTTCCTGTTCCCTCGATCCCCTTGCACGCCGTCTTCTGGTTCCGCTTGGCGATTTTTGCTCTCGCTCAGGTTTCCATGGCAGCTTTTTGCTGTGGCCGTCAATCGGAGGAAACTTGTGGCCACTTTGACGGATGTGGACCTGAGAGCTAACTCGAGCTCTATACCGTGTTTCATTGAGAATCACGGAACGTTAGTGCTTGTAGGAAATATTTTAATCTAACGGTTTCAGGGAAGTGAAGTCATTTCCCAAAGTTATAAAGTGCATGGGAGATCTGGGACTAGGAAACACGTTTCTTAATTTGCAGGCCTGTAGTCTTTGCACTACATCATGCTTGATTGGCCATTCGGGAGAAGAAAAAAAAAAAAGCAGTTTGGGATTAGTTTAAGTTAGATTCTGGAAACTTGTGGCACTTTACAGACCTCTGGAAGAGTTTGAAACATAGGGAGAGGTGTGAGGAAAGCTATTGGCGGTCCACCAAAGACCTACTTTTACGAGTAAAAATAGAAAAGGATCCAGGAGTCTGCCCTCTGAAGAACTAAATGGCCCTGGTGTTGCTCCTGTGACTGAATGGATTAACATACAATCTGTGCTCTACTTAAAAAAAAAAAAAAAAAAAAAAAAAATTGGAAGAAATATGTTTATTCATTCAGACTTTTTACAAAGTCCTTCAACTTGGCCTCTGGACTCAGGCCCTGTCTAGAAGTCTTGGAGAAATGCTTCCGACCCTCTAGACCTCAGAAGTCTGAGCTCAGACTTTATTAAAAGAACGGGAGTCTCTGTAGGCCCCAGCCTCTTACCTACTCTGGAAAAAAGGAGATGCTTGCTGAATTCAGGAGATCTTGCCTTGTCAAATACATAAAAGTAGATTATTTGCATCACGTCACATGCTGATACTACATATTGTCATGTAGTATTGGGCATACCTCATCCGTATCAGTTTTGTCCATCTTAAATCATTCCATAGATCTGTTCATATGGCTTAAACTCCGTCTCTATTTCTAGGAGACAGCGATGCATAAGGAGGAATTTCATCTGAAATTTTTCATGTGTGTGATTCAATCTCGCGGGTTAGTCAGGACTCCTCAGAGCACAGGTACCATTGTCTCCTGATTATACACCAGTGACAAATGGGTTCTCTTGCAGGAATTTTGATACAGGATGTAAAACTTACTAGTCTAAATGTAGGCTTTAGGGGTCAACTGACTTTATTCCATCCCCACTATCGTAAAATATTTGTCACTGAGTCATGTCTCTTCCTTGCACAAGTATCAGCTGAGATTTTGGTCTGATATGTGGAAATAGGCCCAGGCAGGTAAGGAGGACTTGGGAGTTAAGGAAGAACAAAATTTATAGCACATCACCTGGTAGTTGATTTCTCTGTCCTTTGTGAATTATTTTAACTTTTCTGGGCTCATCTGTGGGAGTCCTGGTTACAATTGTCATTGATACTCTAAAACCTATAAGATAGAGTCCCAAAGAAAAATGGCTTTCTATTACATCTCAGTCTCAAAGTATCTAGAGATATGTTCTGCTTTTCTCTCATTTATGTCAAAGGAGTAGAATCTTTTTAAGGTAAGATAATATTGAGAAAAGTCATCACTTCTCTAATTTTTCTCTGAATTATGGAAAAAAGGCCCTGGACAGCTGAGAGTTACAGAGAAAATGAAGGAGAATAAGTAGCACTTCCTTCCCTGAATCCCACCTTGAGGATAACCTCAAGTAACCTAGAGATACTGCTTTTCAGGGAGAGAAGCTTCAACTTCCAGCATGCTCATACAAAAGCCACCACCTGAGATAGACAACATGAAGTATCTACATGCTACGGATGGTCCAGACACTGTGGAAGGCATACCTATTTTGAAAATTGGTGAGGCATGTAGTTAAACAAGGGGGTGGGGAGAGGTGGAAAGGAGTGTTGGAAAATGAATTTTATGCATACATTATAAATTAGGATACAACTACCAAATTTGAAATATGAATTAAGACACAAGGGAGAAAGTGTGTGTGTGTGTGTGTGTGTGTGTGTGTGTGTGTGTGTGTGTGTGTGTGGAGGGGACATAGAGAAAGTAGGAGATCATCTGGGAAACTAGAAAGAGGGACAGTTCTCTCTATGAAGAACACCTTAATTTAGTCAATAGTAATTCAACTGGCTCATAACTGTAAGGCACTAATCTAGTTATACTATTATTAGCAACCTGGATATGTAAAAATGTGAAACTCAATGGATTATATAAAGGAGTTATTATATTGCAAAGTGATTCCAAATATTGTAAAAACTACTCACCTTAGGAATCCATTTAGTAACAAATTTCTGTTGTATATTTTAAATAGTGTTTAACTCACAATTTATATGAAACATTGGAAGCACATCCCTAGGCTTCCTCTCAAATGAAATACATCTATATTGGAGTCAGTTCACTGCAAACATTGCATTCCCACATGTGCCCCAAAATAGACTAGAAATGATAGAGACATTGTACAAATTATACATATAAGACATAACCTTGTCATTTTTCTAATAGTTTACAGTTTGACAGATTATTTAGTCCAGATTATTTAGTCCAACTCCTTATATTTCAGGGAGAAATTCAAGTCTAAAGTGATCTTCCTCAAGAACTTAAATTCATTGGAATAATCACTCTCAGTACCTGTGAAATATATTGCAGCATTTATCCAATAATCTTTTGAGCAGTTACTATTCAAAGTCATTATTCTAGGCTCAATAGCTGTGAACATAAACTAGCATTTTCCCTTTCCCCCAGGAGCCTCTGATCAAGAAGGGAGTTAAGTGAAGAGCTTGATAGTTTTGAGTAAGTGAGTAAGTGAAGTGCTTGATACCTTTGGTTTGAAATGAGCGAGTGAGTAAGTGAAGTAAGTAAGTGAAGGGCTGGATACCTTTGGTTCAAAATGTTGAATTTCAAAAGAGGATGCCACAGAGATGTAGGGAAGGGAGGGACCAACTGACTGCTTAGGCAGAGCTTCACTGAACTCTAGCAGGGCACCATGTAGGCAGGGCACTATGGTCCAAGAGCCAGTCCTAAGCTTTGAAATGCATAAACTATAGCTTAATTCAGTCTCATAAGTGAACCTAGAGTTAACCATACTCACAAGAAAATGGTTTATACACAAGAATATCAACTTATGATGACTTTGGAGTAATATGTATCTATATATGACAACGATGTGGGGTCTGTGTCCCTTTAATCAGACTTGCTTTGCCCATCCATAAACAGCTGTTAGGTATAAGAAATAAGCCCAGCTGGTGGCCTTGTCCTACAGTTCCTTGAATTTGTATAGATTATTTCTTATTCCTTTATCTTCCCTGCTTTTCTCATTCTCATTTTGCTCTATACCTAATACTCACTTCAGACCCTCTTAGCTCTGATGACTCATTTGGACCTGCTTCTGTGGTTTGAACTCAGCATTATCCCATGGAAAAAAATTCTGATGTTAACTTCTGTCTTTAAGCACTGAGACCCCAGGTAAGAGCTACAGTGAATCCTTCCAGCTTTCCCACTAGAGATGAAGAATCAATATTGGGACCTCTGTTCCTCCTTATCTGCCTCTCTCCCTGCCTGCTTCCCTTTGTTTCCTTCCTTCCTTCTTCCCTTCCTCCTTTTCTTCCTCCTTCTCTACTTCCCTCCTTTTTATTCCTTCCAAGAAAATAGGTCGAGCGCATACTATGTCCGGCACTATAGTTGGCACTGGGAATAAAGCAGCAAACAAAACAAGTACATTGCCTACTTGCATGAAGTTTTAGTCTTGTGGGAGTAAGAAGTAATCACATAATCACACACAGTGGGATTATTCGAATGGTCCTAGTACCATGGAAAACAATAATATCACATAATTAGAATGTAAAAACAGGGTACCTAACCTGGCCTGAGAGGTTGGAAACACCTTTTCTAAGGAAGTCCTGAAAGATGAGTGTGACTTAGCCAGGAAGAGGGGGTAGAAAAGCTTTTTGGGAAAGAGGACAGTAGAATCTGAGTTGAGAAGGAGTTTGGCTCATTAGAGGAATAGAGAAGACCAGTAGAACTTGGGTGAGGGAAGAGTAGCTGGAGAGTGAACTATAAGGATAGTATAAGAGCCAAATCATGCTATGCCTTCTAGGTCAAATCACTGAAGAGTGACAGGTCTGGCCCCTGGGTTGAAGAATGAATTGGAGGGGGCAAGAGTGGTCACCTGATCTGGTGGGATGGGAAATGTCACTGCCTTGCTCCATTCCTCACGTAGGGCATGAGTGAGGAAATCATGCCATCAAATAGCATGGTTGGCAGAGGTGAGCCCAGAGCTACTGATGCCAAAACACCCCCAAAACCTGGCCTGGCGTCCCTCAGCTGCTGCTGCTGCTGCCAGCCTGAAGAATGCATAGGGACTCCTTCTAGGATGGTCAGCTTCTTGCCCCAAGTGAAGCTATATGTGGACATGCTGAGCTCTAATCCTGAAGAAAAATGGAACACATTTTGTTTCTAATCTCACACTTGGCAGGGAAGCAGCTGCAGTTACTATTTTCTCCAAATCCCTGCACATTAGAATAGACAGCTCTGCCTGTATTATGATGAGGCAGGCTGTGTGTGTGTGTGTGTGTGTGTGTGTGTGTGTGTGTGTGTGTTTCTGGCCTTTAGAGGGTCAGTTCCTAACATAGGGAAGCCATTGGTTCCCACACTGGGGCACAGCAAAGGAGTGAGTCACCTAGGCCCTAACCTTTGCAAAGAATGGTGGTTAGAATTCCCGGGGAGCCGAGAGTGTAAGACCATCATCTCCAGCAGAATGGCTCACGGGCAGCAGGTAGCTTTGTGGGCCAGACTCTGGTCCAGCGGATCCAGCTGCCCACTAGACCTAGAGCCTCTCCTCTGCATATACCACTCCTGTTCACTGATGGACAGCCGGCCTTAATAACCTGTGACCCCTGAGATGACTACATATCGGGCTGCAAATGAGGGAGCATACCAGACACCCATCTGCCCCTGTGTTACCACTTCTCCTTGGAAGGGTAAGACCTTACTACCAGATTCCTCACTTCAGTTAGGCTATCTGTCACCAGCATTGCCGAAGTTCCCCCACCATTCTGTTCTTTTAACAGTGAGACCATCAAACCTGCTCACGCCCTGGTTTATGCAGACCAGGATGCAAAGTTTCTCCAACACTGTGAATGCAACTGATACGTAAAGATGTCACCATAGCCAAAGTTTCTTCCAAGCAGGCTATACTGTTTTCTGCATCAGACACAAGATTCTCCATATACAGATGCCATGTTATAAGTGATCCAAGAACCTGTACCCTTGTTGAAGGAAAATCAGTGGGGGTTCTGCCTCTATAAAGATCATCTTAGTCTCAACTAGTTGCCATTCAGCATTGATCTCCTGATCCCAACCTTCTAGGACTAGCTGCAGAGAACTTAAGTTTTCATGAAGCTGAAACTCTCAGGGCTCTTCAAATGTAAACTGAATTGGGAAGATCATTGAGTAAGAAAATAGCCTTACAAATTCTCTTCTTTCAGTCAAATATGCAAGGATACCATTAGACCTGTGGAACACTTTCCCCCCCCCATATTTTATTGATTAATAGAGAAAATCTCATGCATCCTCTTAGGCCACCCTGCTCTGGGTGGTCCCCTATCAAACTGCCTCTCAAGTCAACCCAGATAAATAGATTTAAGAACTAAATATATATTCCTTGGAATATAGTGCTTACTAAGACATCTAACCCTTTCACATGCTTGATGAGGTATTAGTAGATCTGAAGTGGAAGACTCCCAGGATTGTCTTATGTAATTATTATTTGTCTTCTCTGTTCTGATACCCCCCCCCCTCAAAGCTTACCTCTTTAAGGAAAGAAAAAGTTTATCTGGTCTAAGCTTGAGGCTACATATCTTAGCTGAAGAGTTTATTTTCCTCTGCCTTAATTAAGGCTTGAAGTTAGTGCCTTCAGCCTATAGTAGAGGTCATCTGGACATCTGTGACTTCTTTCCTGAGCTAGCTTTCCCAAGAATTTGATAGTAATTGGTGAAAATGACTTCATAGGACCTATTCAAGCCTTTTTGGCATGCAAGGTCATTTTTCAAGTGATGGTGTTCTCAGACCTCCACAACTTGGAACAATTGTTCTCAAACTTTATCGTGCATCAGAATACCTGGAGGGTTTGTTAAACTACATTGCTGAGACCCCACCCCTAGAGTTTTTGATTCAGTAGGTTCCAGGTCAGACCCAAGAATTTGCATTTCTGACAAATATCCAGATGATGCTGAATCTGCTAGACTGGCATTGTCTTAAAACCAGTGCCCTACATCAGAAACATTAGTATCAGTGGCTGGTGGCGGCTGCTCTGTCTCCAGGAGTCATCCTCTCCCAGCCAGAGCCAAAGATGACTCTCCAGTGCAGACAGTGGTTTACTGTCTATGCCCAGGGTCTCTCCTTAAGGAGTTTTCCATTCTGGTGGAAGGAAACAGATAATTACTAGATGAGATCTAGGAGTTTTGTAGGAGTGAGAGGACCAGATAGATGTTCCAACTCAGAGAGAGGCTCATACCCAATTGCTGCATGTATTTCACAACATCAACCCACCACATCATTGTAGCCCATTTCCAATTCTGAGTCAAGTCCAAAGGAAATCTTAGTGATCCTCTGGTATGACACTCCTACCTTATTCCTGCTTTAGAACCTTTGCATTTGCTATTCTCCCTATCTGAAAGCTGTTCCCTAAAGGTAGCATGGTTTTCTTTCTTGTATGTTCAAACCTCTTCCTAGAATGTCATCTCAGCAAGGTTTTTCCAGTCCACCCTATTTAAGATAGCACCTCTGTCACTCTGCTTTTTTTTTTTTTTTAAGTTTACTTATTTAAGAGGGAGCAGGTGTACAGCAGGGA